TTTTACTGCTGGCAGCATTAAAATGGGCATGCAGTCCCTCCAGCAGCGAGCCTCTCTTCCATGCTCTCTGGCAACCCTTCCACAGAACTCCCTTTGGAAAACTGCTGCTGCTGCTGCAGGCCCCTTGGCAGCACAGTCGCCCCCCACTGGCTTTATACTTCCTTGCATGCCCCTTTTCAAAAAGGGGGATTAGGGGGCCCAGAGGCACCCATCCAGAGCACCAGGTCATTTGTCTCGGCACTAAATCCTTTTGAACTCCTGGAAAAGAGAAGTCCTAAAGTAACTGGATGGATTCCCTGTGTTTCTCACTTTGAACTACTATTTCTGTTTATTAATTAAAACATTTCATTAAATAAATAATTGTGCAGAAAACTTAAGTCCAGCAGCCAACTAAGAAAGCAATAAATATTTCCAGCAGGGGCATGCTGTCAAGGGTCTTTGAAACCATCGGCCCCACCCAACTAAGCAGAATTCATGATATGGGTTTGTCAAACACATGATACACCAATCACACCAGATTAACGTGCAGCAAGATTTCTCTGTAGTGCCTGCCTCCTTTGAACCAACGCAGAATAAATTTCAGGAGCTTTTAATTTTTTCTATACACAACTCTTCTAAGTCTTAATTCCTTTACATATGGAATGGATGGAAAGTGACAATTGCTAGGAAGAAATGAAGCGTGATGCTTTCTTCAGGGTCACCATTTACTTACATCAGCGGGGACCAAGAGACTCTTGCCAAGGTGCTGGTTAAAAGAAAGGCACCAGGCTTCAGTGTAACCATTCAGATTTGGAACGTATTTCCGTATCGTCTCCTCATTCAGCCGTAACCACACTCCATCATCATTGTGGATCTGTGAAGAACAGCCCAAGATAAGCGGCTTGTACAAAAAGTGAGTGGATAAAAATTGAAGCTTAAAAATTGGTATGAAGAAACAAGCATATCATGACACCTAAAAGTTCAGTTTGGGATTTTTTTTTTAATCCAAACAAGTTTTTAAAATGTTCAAGAAAGAGGTTGAGATTCTGGATGCAGTAAGAATGTTTTAAATCTAAATCATTACACAGCAACTGTGATATGGAACCTGTTCTGAAAAAGCGGGTACTTTCCTATTTCTGAAAACAGTAATGTATCAGCGCCACATGCCTGAATCACACTGATGAGCAGCTCAAATCAATATTCACTGTGAAGGGGAAGGATGATTGGCAACTTAAACATTGACACACAGTGGAAACCAGAGCTAGCCTAGTCTTAGAAAGAGTGATTCAGAAGTAGTATACATTGTATAGGAAAAAGCTGGCGTCATAAAATGAACTGCTATTCTCTCTCAAATTTCCTACGCGAATGTTTTTTCCAAAACTGTAGCTGAGACAAAGCAGAAATGAATAATTTAATGTTTGAATGATTAACAGAAGCTTTGAAACATCAGGCTCGATTAAAAACAAACAAGAATCCTACCTTAATTTTGTCAAAAAGTAATCTAGCAGCCTCTCACGTGAATTTAAAACAAAGTGGCTGGTTAATAACACAGCCTAAGTTATTTATGCTCATTCATTAGGCTATCATGGCTAAACACCTCCAAGATTTCAGATCTTTTTCACTTGAACAGCAGGTCTGGGGACAGGTTACAAGCCGCCTGATGGCTTCCAGAGCCATCTGTCCAGATCTCAGTGCTCAGGTGAGATTAGCCATAGGAGTTTTGGGAGGACAGACATGTGTGCCAGGGACAATCAGCCTTCATTACAGTGGCCTATCAAGTTCTTAGATGTTACCTCATCAATAAAAGTAATTGATCCATTGACTTTGACTAAGCCAATCTGTTCGCTCTGAAGGGATGGGTGGCTACGGATTCGCAAGCCGGCACTGTCCTTGGCCACAAATCTGCGAACCTGCAAATAGCAAAGGGAGAGTTATGGCCCTGAAACCTAGGCAGATGCAACTCCTGGCCCTAGGAATACAACACACGACTACTTCGGAGGGTAAAATCCACATAATTCAAAAAAAGGTCTCCTAACAGCTGTTCAAAACATGCACTAAGAATATCAAATAAATTTCCTCTCTTTTTGGAAGCCAAAGAGAAAAGAGACTTAATTAGAAGTATTATTAGAACCGTGAGTAAAGCTTCTTTCAGAGGTTATTTCATACAACACAATAGTGAACTCAAAAAGAAGAGGCAAGAGAAAACACAAGCTATTTTGGATAAAGAGAAAAGAACAAGAATTAAAGTAAATTCCAGAGAAGATAAGTATTAATTTCTCAACAAATTAATTAATTTCTCAACAAACTCAGCTTTTACAACAACAGTTATCTATGTTAACAGTAAGAGAAATGGAAAAAAAAATGAACCATGTAAAGCAAAAAATCAAAAGAACAAAAACAAAAAACTTTGAGTTTGTAAACAAACCAGGGAGGTGGTTGGCATATAAATTACAAAAAGAAAAAAAAAAGAAAATGATATTGAAATTACAAGAGGGGGATACTGTATTAACGGATAGCGCAGCTATACAAAAAGTATTTCATCAATATTACTCCAACTTGTATAAAGGAAGTGACATCTCTCTGGGGAAAACAGATGAATATCTGAAGAGACAAAATTTACCAAGGATTACAGAGGAAGAGAAACAGATTATGAATGGACATATAACAATAAGGGAAGTTTCTGAAGCTATAAAAAAGATTAAACCAGGAAAGATGCCTGGATCAGAAGGATTATCAGATTCTTATTATAAATGTTTTGAGGATGAACTTTCACAGCCTCTACAAAATGCGATGAATTCTATCCAACAGGGAGGAAAGATGCCAGAGAGTTGGAAAGAGGCCAACATAGCATTAATACCTAAAGAGGGACAAGATTTGACTCAACAAGAAACTATTATTATTATTATTATTACTATTGAATAGTAAGTGGTTTACAACATTTCTAGCTGATAGAATGAAAATAATTTTGCAAGAATTTATTTATGAGGATCAATGTGGGTTTTTACCTAAAAGACAGTTAAAGGACAACGTTAGAAACATGTTGGAGATTTGGAATATTTGGAGCAACATAATGAAAAACAAGCTGCATTGATTTTCTTAGATGCAGAGAAGGCCTGTGACAATTTGAAATGGGCTTTCTTGTTAAAGGTTTTGGAAGATATGAACTTTGGAGAGAACTTTATAAAATGGGTAAGATCAATTTATACATCATAGAAAGCACAAATAATTGTTAATGGAGACCTAACAAAGCCTTGTGAGATATAAAAGGGAACGCCCACTGTCTCCTCTCTTGTTGGTTTCAGTTCTTGAAATACTGAATAGAGATATAAGACAAGAGGAGAGGATTGTGGGAGTAAAGATTAAAAAAGAAACTTTTTAACTTAAAAAGTTAAGGGCTTTTGCAGATGACTGGCATCCTAGGAGGCCTGGTCAAGATGGACAGAGGCTGGTAGTGTAAGTCAGCAAATACAAAAAGGGTCTGGGTGGTTTGGTGGCTCACAAACTGAGTGTGAGCCAAGAGGATCACACAGCTTCGAAGAGAGCAAATCCAGCCCAAGTCTGCATCAAAAGAACTGCAGCACCAAGATCAAAAGAAGCCACAATTTCTCTCTATTATGCAAAGATCAGACCCGACCTTGGATTGCTGTGTCCAGGTCCAGGCATACATTAGTGGAAGAACACCAACAGACTGGAGCATGTCTAGGAGAAAGCAACTAAGACGATGATGGGTCTGGGAGAAAAAGACGTATGAGGAACAACTGGAGGTGTTGGGCATGCTTACCCAGGGCAAGAGAAGCCTGTGGGGAGATATGATAGCTGTATCCAAGGAAGGCAGAGCTGACTTGAACAGAGTTGTCCTAGAAAACAGGACAAGAAACAAGGAGTTTAAATAACAAGAAAGTAGACTGTGGTTGGACCTTAGGAAGATCTTCTAATGGAAACAGCTATTCAGCAGTAGAGGAGACTGCCTCTTTGTTCCCTGGAGGTGTTAAATAAAGGGTGCTGCAATGTGGGGGGGCCCTGTGCTGGGCGGAGGGGTTAGATTCCTCTTCAAACTGGTATGCGTTGAACCCTTCTGGTTTATGCAAAGTGGAATTGCGATTCCTACTAAAAACTCCTCTACAAGTTACTCTAGAAGATTCCAGCAAGGGGTCTGTCAAAGCACGTTGCTCCCTATGTGTGATCCACAGAGACAATAGAGAAATGAGTAATAGGATATTCAAGGGCAAATTTTAATGTGCTCTTTCATTGCCTAGCCAGATCAAGCATGCATTTCCCAAGTAACCTATGAATGTGTATTTACTCGGATGAAGAGCTAGGAAAATATATTTGCCTGAAGACAGTGGGAGAGATCAGAGGTGGAGAGTATCGCATAAGGTATTATGGGAAAATTGTAGCGTCCTATTAAAAACTCAGGAATAAGATATAAAAGCTATTTCAACATTTGTAAAAACACTTCAGAAGCAAAACTGTCCCTCCCTGTCTCCCAAGGGATCAGACGACGGCATAAAGCAAAACACTCTATGCCTGGACATCATTCCACAGGCCTGGAATGTACTCCATTTTCTTCTGTCCTTCTCGAGCAGCTTCCCTTCAGCCGGTAAGCAAAGGACATCGGGGCCCTGAAAATCAACCAAGGATCCACTGCGCTGGCACAGTCCTGCCTGATGGGCTGTGGCTCTCGGGGCAGGGCTCTTGCAGACCAGCAGCCTTCAAGACGAACAGGGTGGGACTAGGGCCTTCCACTTGGCATTCTGACCTCTTTGTAGATGGAATCGGGACAGAAACTGTCAAATCATTGTCCTTCATGTACCTTGTTTGGCAAAGGCTCAGCTTTTGGTTTTATCAACTGGGTTCCTGGTGGTATCATCCCCTTTGGAGGATCTTTGACTTTAACTTCTAGTCCAGCATCTGCAAATGAAGGAAATCATGGTGACATATGAGGGGTAGAAAAGCAAACTGCAGTGAGTAACTTTGCCTTTCTGTGCGTGGCAAGACAGAATTACACTGAAAAGCCTCTAGCTGGGTTAAACGAAAATTACTGTTTGTATAAATACAGAACAAAACTGAAAAGTGATTTCAGTATGAGACAAACATGACTCCTGACTCTAGATTCACTCCATTTTCTTCAGAAATCAACTTTTGAAAACACTGATCTTCTTGAGACTGCGGTATCCACCGTAGAACCTGCTGCAAACCAGTTCAGGAAACAGGGAACTTCCTCCCCTTTACAAGGTGCCTCAGTTTTTTTCAGGAATCATTATATGACCAGAAATCAATGTGGAAGAGTAACTGTCATCACGCTCCTGACACGGGATTTCAAAGGCTACTTGATAACTCATTAGGGGACACGCAAAGGCACACCACCAGCTATTCTCTAGCCAAGATGTCATTTGAGGCAAACGATTTTGGTGTTAGCATTTCGGCCACAAACTTGAAGAAGTCTGAGCTGCTCTCTGAACGTGCAGAGAGAGACAACCTAAGGGAGGCTGAGGAAATTCAGTCCAGTAAATGAAGCGACTTCGCCAATATTCTTCCCCACTATCAGGGCAACTAATTGTTATGTCTGCTTCTCAGTAATTGTTCCGCTTGCTTTTCTATTTGAGGCAGAAAGAACAGAAACTAAGGATAGGCTCTGTTCAAAGCCTGGTTCTTTCTCACGTTTATGAAAACAGTTTCTCTGTCCAGGTTTTGGCATGCAGCTGCAGATCTACTAATACCGGAATACCGTAGAGAGGACGAACGTCTTATGTACCTATTTCAATGCCATCAATCGTAACATGAATGGTGTACAGACCAACTGCTCCTGGTGTCCAGTTAGCACAGTAAGTACCATCATTGTTGACTCGTATTAACATGTTTTCACTCGGTCTAGAAAAAAATGAATATGGAATTCACAACACGTCACCACAGTTTCACCTTCACCTATTTAGGTCTTGTACATACTTAGAAAATATGGCACAACTGCACTGAGTTATCAGGAATTAAAAATCAGAGCAATTAAGCACAATCTTCTCTGTCCTTAGCATTTCACATTATCCAGACATTTTCTGTATCTCAACTTTGTTTCAATCTTCCTTTGCCTCCCCACATCTGGGCATCCTCCTAGAATTCTCAGCAAGGGCTCTGCTGGCTGGGGACATCTACATACAATGGGGAAGGCTGAGGGCTGCTATCCTCTGCAAGAAGAGATACAATACCCCAATAGGGACATCCTGGGTCAAGGTAAAGCACTGGATAGTCTGACTGAACACACTTTTTTTGTACAGAGCCACTGAGCTATAATCATTGCAAACAGCCACACAAACTTAATAATTCACATACAGAGAAACCCAACTACTGAGTTCCTTAGTATCAGTTTCCCATACGTTTAAGACTAGTAATATAAAACTATGTTTCATCTCTTTTTTCTCCTTCTTTGCTTGCTTTTTTTTTTTTTTTGATATAACACTTTCCCTGGAACTGTTGCCTGGAGATCTTTTTGACAAAATAATTACTAACATCCTGTGAAAAGGATGATACTTGCACATAAAACCCATTCTGATAACTGTATATGGATAACGGTCAGTTTTCTTGAGATTTTATATTTCATACAAAACTGTTACCTCTTAGGTGTTGGTGAAGCGAAACGTAACTCTTCAAAAGAATAATTTTCATATACCTATAAAGCAAACAGTGTATCAGACTTCTTCTGCTGTGTCAGTAACTTGGAATAACAGCCCCTTGGTCTCTTCGCTTCAGACACCCCCCAGACCCGCTTGACCGCACAGGGCAACCTGATCTCACTCTGGCCCCAGGCAGGGTTTTCTGAATGGGAAACGGCTGCCTGTCTTCAGCCCGCACATCTGGGCCAATCTGCTTGAGAGAAGGGGATGCTTTCTTGTCCCCCTTGTCAATCTCAAGAAACTGCCTAAGCCAAAGCGCGTGGAAAGCAGTGGAGGAAGGATGAAAGCAAATAATTCAGTGACACTTCCATCTGTTCAAAGAGGACTAGTAGACCATGAGACAGCAGCATCATTTCCAGCTGTGAATCTAGGCTGGTTTTTACAAAAGCCCTAAGACTGAGAGATCCAAAGAGAGAAAGAAGAGCACATGGATGCACACCTCTGGAATCCCCCCCATTGGTATTTCAAGTCGCTGCTGTTTACCTTCATCATTGTTATAGAAATGTAGCGTGCTTCCTTCACGATCATAGGCTCGTAGGATGCATCCAACTTGGGGGAAGGGAGTCCCCCAAAGGTCAGCTCAGGGCCAGAGGAAGCAGCCCCAGCAGGGCCGCCCGGGGCGCGCTGCGTTTTCTTAGCCTGCTCCTGCTGCAAAGAGTTTTTTTTCTGGGAAACTGGTATCGCCTTGACTTCCACCTGAAAGTTTCGTTGAGAAGAGGGAGACGGGGACAGGCCACAAACACAGCAAGTCATTCTAAATCCCAGCCAAGGGACTTTAGAAACACATTCTGGTCTTCAAACTGCCTTTTCAAATCACCCCGAAAAGTTCACAAACATAATTGCTGCTCTCTGTACGTAGCAAGGCTAAAGCCCCGGCTGGTCTTTCCACAGCTCTGCCTCACCAAGATGACACGTCGGAAAGAAAAGCCCTCGGCCAAAGGCAGGAGAGCGAATCCAGAAAATCTCTCCCAAAAACCCGAACCCCCACGCAATATCGCAGTCAACAGGGAGTGTAAGTCATTTATGCAACTTTAAAGAGGCATGGGCAACGAACACTTTCTTTAAGCGAGCCATAAACCTTGAGCTGCGTAAACAGTCTAGATGCCGCTAAACAGTGCATCCCAGAGTCAGCTGTGAATCATGCAGTTGAAATATGAATTGCTTCTAGATTCTAGTAATGCTCCAAATTACATAGCACTAAAACATGGAGACCAGCCTGAAACCAGCAGCTATTTTACAAAAGGAAAGATGCGCAGGAGAGATTTGTAGGCTGCATTTCTGAAAGGGCCTTAAGTTGGAAAGGCCCTTGGTTGTTCATAAGCCACTACCTTCATGTTGGGCACGTGAACCACTTCACCATATTGGTCCTTGGTCTGCACAATAACAACTGTTGGCCAGCCACAGCGGATGTCATCTTTATTTAGGATCAAGGATGTTTTCTGGGGATCCGCATAGGAGTCTGGTTGAAGCCACCTAAGGAGAAAACCATTTAGCAGCCTTTCAAATTCCCTGCCTCAGCAGACCCTCTGTGGAGGTACAACATCACAGGAAGGTCATAATGACGCATTGCAAAAGGGAAACTAAAGCCTTTTGGCACAAAAAAAACCCCACTGACAACAAAAATTTCTAGTTCAGTCGCATACAATAAATTAGTTTTTATCTTTTGCAGTAAAGCTTTTTGTCTTCGTGTACATGCAAAACACTTGCTTTGATGTTTGGTTAGCATTCCTGTCGTTTTAAACAGTAATTTCTTTCCAAACGTTAACCGATCCAAACGATTGGTCCTGATCTAAATCTGTTAAAAGCTTCCAGCATATTTAAAGCTTAGGACACAACCACACAGCTAAGGCAAGAGCCTGGGAAGAAGGCGCTACTCTTGGGTGCCAGAGCATCCACCTCAACTGAAAATAAAGGCGTCCTAACAGAGGTGGTTGTGACTAAAACCGAGCTATGGCTGTACCTCGCAAGTCGCCCACCACTTGACCCTGGCACGCAGGAGATAAAGTCCTCCAGAAACGACTGTTCGTTGCTTTGAACTTGCAATGGGAGAGTTCCTTCGAGCGCCTCCAAAATAGTCGGTGAATGAGACAAGGCTAGTCCTTTACCCAGGATGCCTGAATGAGATTTACATACCTGGCATAGATGGAAAACAGTATTATCTACGTACAGTAGCCCTCAACCCCTGCCTTTTCAAACAGGGTTACTTTAACAGTAAATAAAATTATTTATAATATTCACTTATTTTACTTCTAAAATTAGAAACCAACCTGCTACAATTACTGAGAGTGATGCACACTTACAAAATATACTAATTAGACTGCAAGCATAATTTTAAAATCAACCGTTACTGGGGAGGCACTCTAAATCTATTACTGACACCTTGGAATGGCCTTGCAAAGGGCCTCCAAAGTTATCTGAGAAGAGCATGGGGCAGCTCCTTCAGGCCCTCTACAAAGGAGAGCCTGCCCCCTTCATAAAGCCACTCTAACAAACCCTGGTATGGTTACCCAGAAATTTTCTCTGTGTGAATAACAGAAAAATACGGGGTTGAATCTGAAAGGAATCAACAACTGTTTGTGCTGACGGTGTCTGGAAAGACAAGCAGACACAGCGAGGCCCATGACCCAAGAGGGTGCCAGCGTCAGGGAGGGTGAATCCGGGCTACCTGAAGAGCCGCCTCCTCCAGCATCTCAAGGTCTTCCTCCAATTCACTGCCTGTTCACAAACAGGAATAATGGCACACAGTCAAAATGTGTTCTGAAAGGATACAGGCCCTTTTCCTAAGCCACCTGGCATGATAAATTAGGATTTATTTCTTAACCAATTTTATAGGATTGCTCATCTCACCAACAGAACTCTGGGCAGCGAACCGAGGATAGACCAATAGATCAAAATCAATTAAAAGAACCAAGCTGAAGCCCCTGCAAAATCTCACCCACATAGCAACTTTAGGGACACTGGGCTCCACTAACATCCTGGCCTCAAGGAAAGCTACTCTCCGGAAGTCTAGCCCGCCCCCCTGAATTTCAGGGGGAGAGGCTGTTCATGCAGCAGGCGCCATGACCGAGAAGGCATGCTTTCTAGCCCCACCAGGCGGCCCTGTTTCCCAGAGGGAACCCGAGGCATGCCCGCCCTAGCAGACCTGGTGGGATGGGCAGAGACCCCGGGGATAAGCAATCCTCCAAGTAACCTGGCCCCATGCCAGGTTCGGCTTCAAAGGTGACAGCCAGTCCCTGGAATTGCGCCTGGAAGCCTACAGGAGTCCGTTTAAACAAATAAATAAACGTAGCAGTGACACTACCATGAGTGCCCAAGGCTGCACACATCCCTGCATCCTGGACCAGCTGAATGTATCAGCTGAATCAGCTCATGTAGAATCTCACCAGGGAAGTGACTAAGGCACGAGCAACTGTGAACAGTGCCTCCTGGTCGAGAACGGGCACAACGGGTCCGCAAAGGCTCTCCTGGCCATGGCTGGGGCTGTGACCACTAGGTCCTCCCTTAATCTTATCTTTCAGGGTTGCTGGGTGTCTACTCCTGTCCCTAGGAAAGCTATTCACCACTGCTGAGTTGGCAGCCCCAACTAATGCTGCTAAAAGTCCATGAGATATATTGCTGAGGCCACAAGAGAGCTCCTTCTGTAACCCCAGAGAGAGAAAAACAAAAACCCTACTTGAAAACTAGCAACCGTTATTTTTCTTGAGTCCACTAGATGAAAATGTGAAAAGTGTTGAAACACTGCTTGATAAACAAAGAGACAACTTCAGATAAATACTGTAATTCCTAACATATTTTCATTTTTAAAAATTGCTATAGATTATTTTGAAGTAATTAAAAGCCCACACCCACAGCATTGCTAATAAGCTGCTCTGCACCATGTCGGGCTGGACTACAGCATGTCCCTTGCGGAAGTAGCAGCTGTGTGTGTCCCATAGCAAGTCTCCATCAATATTTGAGTGAATCTCAAAACTAAATTGTAATGTCACGCCAGGGCTGCTATTTGATGAAGGTCTTGCCAGGACACAAGTCCTAGAGAAGACGAGAAGAAGATGCTGCAATCCTTTCCCTTTAATGATAAAACACCTTACTAATCCCCGGGCGCATGCTTTTAATTTACGCTGAATTCCACCAAGCCTGTCCTGAACAGATAACGTACCAATGGGAAGTGCCAGATCTTTTTTCATCAGAGCTGCCGCACACGCGCCTCCTAGATTGGCCAGCTCTTTCTCGAGCTGAACGATCCCCTTGAAACAAATAAAGGAGACAGGTAACTCTCTTTGTTTTGGTTCACCTGAAGGCATGTAACCGACCCAGAAGATGGCATAGTTTGTTGGCTCTCGGACTCTTCTGGGTCAGGTGGCTTTCACCCAAAAGTGTCCTATGTATCCAGCATTTTCATGAGATGCTCAAGTAAAGCCATGTGTGGGTTACTATCATTTCAAAGAAGAACAGCTGGAGAGAAACAACATGGTTTCCTCCTTTGAGTCTCTGAGGAGTTGCACATATTTATTTGTGTGAGATTTATACCCCACCTCTCATTCAGGGACTCAAATCAGCATACAAAACACTCCCTGCTCCCATTTTACCCCCACCCAGTGAGGTTGGTGGAGCTCACAGAGGGAGAGGCTGCCCCAAAGTTACCCACTGAGGTTCTGGGGCTGCGGGTGGACTAGAACTTGGGTCTTCTCAGCGCTAGTCCAACAGCTTAGTCACTCGACCACACTGACCCTCACGAAAAGCCATGACATTCAAGGTTGTCAGTAAACCAGTTATCAACCATTTTGTAACTTGCAGATTAGATTTGTTATTCTTGGTGTTACAAGTGGCTAGCTTCACAAACTACTTGAGAAGGTCAGGAACCCTAACCGACTGGGAAAATAAAATATTTATATCATATAAACTCTCTCCTATAATAACCCCCAATTTCTATGGATTTTTCATTTACTTGAAGAGCTCTGAAAGGATGAGGGCCCAGGTTACCAGAGCACCGCTCCACAGGCTCTCTCGGTGCTCTCGTTTTCAGAAGCCCTCCTCCACCTGCCCCTTTTCTCAAGATTTCAGTACTTACTTCATCAGCTCCAGGACTAAATTCATAGCCTATTGCAAAACATTTGAAACCATAGAAAGTAGCCTTTTCATCTTTTACATAGTCTGATGCGGTTTCCAGTGAGAAGAGGGCTTCGTTACCTAGAGGGAAATAGCATGTTTAACAGCAGAAAAAAACTGGGCAGCTAAGCCGCTTACAACTGAATGAAAACAGTTCGTGATTAATACTCAGAATTAAGCTTGCAGGTGTGAATCCTGTACACATCCCACTTGTTTCCAGGCACAGGAAACAGAACACACTGTTTCAATAACTAGTTTGCACTATCCTGGAATGGAAACAAAGTAGTAATACAGATCACTCCATGCTATTTGGTTGTGAGAACAGAGTGAGTGATACAGATAATCCCCGGGTTAAGAACGCCCGGTTTAAGGACGGCCCATAGCTAAGAACGGAGCCTACCGTAGCAAAATTCAAGTTAAATATATAATGGTTCAAGTTCATTACACAATACTACTTATACAGTATTATACAACAATACTATTCTGGCTCACATACAAATTTGACTTAAGGACAGACCTCAGGAACAGAACTCATTCTTAAACTGTATCACGATGTTGGTGATCTATTTTTGCAAAACCCATCTGGAGACTACCGTATGAAGTTCTGAACTTCTCGACTATTAAGCCATCAATACCACCTTAGCAGAAGGACAGGCTTGCTGCTTCATGAGACCTAGATTTCAGATCTCTGAATGAAGAAATGTGAACAAAACAAATCAATGCCACCCGACACACCGTTTAATTCACGAAAGTTTCACATCAGTAAAGTTGAGATGGTTTTTCATCTGGCCGAAATCAGAATGAACTTTCTCAGATAAGTTTAAGTGAATTTTCTAACTGAATTTTCAAAATGAGGATTACCTGGCAGCACTAACGCCATGGTGGGCCAACCGGATGAGCCAGCAAACTTCTTCAGTTCTATCCACGAGTTTAGGCCTTCGTGGACGGAGGCCTGCTTTGGGCCAAGCCCTGAAAACTGGATGGCTCGGGCAGGAATGAGCAAACGAAGAACGTCCTCTGACTGAGCTGTTCCACACTGGCCATCAAACTCTACTGTGATCCACCTGACACACTCTGGAAAAGACACCTAAAAAAGCAGGGAGGGACAAAGGAGCTTTCTGCTGTCAACACGACGGGGATGAAACTGAAATTTACTTAACCAGCCTCAGGTTGCTTGCCCAATATCAAATCCTAGGAAATATCAATCAATCAATCAATCAATCAATCAATCAATCAATCAATCAATCAAATTTGTCACCACCCATCTTGTTGAAACGACTCTGGGTGGTTTACAAAACAGTTAAAATCAATTAAAATTACAATATACAACAATCTTAATAAATAGAAAATAAATAGATCCAAGGACAGATATAAAATTGGCGGTCACTCAGGGAGCGTCATCAAGGCACCAGCCACCCCCAGGATTGGGTAAGGTTGTTGTCACCCCATGCACACTGACAGAGCCAGGCCTTTAATCCTTTCTGGTAGGGGCCTGCCGCACCTCTGCGGGGAGAATATTCCAAAGGGTGGGGGCAACGGCAGAGAAGGCTCTCCTCCTGTGCCCCCGGCCCAGATGCATTTTAGATTTTACAGAGACTTTGAATTTGCAAGTTATCCAGTCAAACCACTGGGAGGGAAAGTTTGGGGCAAACCACAGTTCTCCACAGCCCAACAGTCATGTTCACAGCCTGGCCGTGGCTCTTCCACTTTTAGCTACCTATACTGGCTCTAATCTAAAACATTTGAATGAGTAATATAAAGATATACCTTTGCATATTTTACTCTCAGGACATGGACTGGATTTCTGTATAACTGAGCAGATTGTTCTTACAGCCCTTTTCCCAAGAAGCTGTTTATAGCAGTCCAATCTCTGGTTGCGCTGGCTAAGCTAATGCAAGCCCTTGTTGCCTATACGATACGCCCGCGTAAATGACATCTGTGTTAGCCCTTCTTGACTGATGCATGCATTTAGACCATGATTCCTCATGCAAATCTACACTTCCCTTGCCTAGAGCGCTGAGTTAGGCCACGGGGGTGTTTGCAGTCGACATTTTCCTTAACCCCTCAAAGGCCTCATTCCCTGAACTGACTTATCAGCCAATTGAAAGAGCTCTGCCACAGACACATGGATTATGGGAAGCCCACCTTGTAGTGGGTGACGCACGCCGGTTTGTACGGATGTTCGCTCTCGATGACGGCATAGTGGCTAGAAGTGGTACACGCTGAAAGGCCTTGCTCAGGCTGGTTGCCGGTGGCGCTGTCCGTGGACTGATTGGGATTGAAGGCCAGAGGGGTGTACTTCTGATTCAGGACTGCAACAGATGGGAGCAGCTGCTGCACCAGGCCAAAAACCTCAACGGCAACCTACAGGGGGACAAAGGCAGACCGAGGCGTGAGCCGGAGCGTGTGGAGCTGACCGGGGGACAGCGCCGTGGTGGAGAGCGTGATGCTCCTTTGTAGGAGTGACGGGATTCTTTTGCTGGCTTTGCTGTGATCCGCCTAGGATTGTAAGGCAGTGCAGCCATAAATAAAAACCTGAAAAAATGTTGGTCCCTTTCTTTGAAAGGTGCCAGTTCAGTATTTTCATGTTAGCTCAACCTACTCAGGGGGGGCTTGATATAAACGAGAAAAGTGTATTTTTAAGTAAGTCAGATGGCACTAACTCCAAAATATTTTTAAGGATCTAATGTCTTTTCTTGACTGTAGTATTTGGATTTGAGTCCAGTTCCACACTCTCCTGAGTCCTGGACATAGAAAAGAGGCTTTCAAGAGAGCTGGATCCAGGACTCCGTGCTGAAACATGGAAACGCTCAGCCTTGATTCTTGAATCTGAAACCCACCTAAAAACCTAACAATGCCAGTTTTATGGCTCCAGGCCTGTAGCCACCAAACAAAGGCACTGGTTGAATTGTAATCTGAAAGCTTTCAAATATCCTTCATATAACCATTACAGTATAACATAAATGCAATGACTTGTGAAGGACCAGAAATCTTAACAGATATTCCTGAATTTAAGACAGATGAGCAACTTCAGTTGGATCTTCTGGAACATAAGAACTTGAAAACCCACGAGATATCTGCTAAGTAAACATGAGGTCACACCTAGATTCACTCTGGATTCATTTTGTAGTCTTTAAAACCCCCACGAATTGTTTGAGGAACATACCTTGGGAATAGCTGCTGCCACAGGTTCTATATGGGCTATCATTAGAGGAAGGAGCATGGAAAAGAGGCTGGAAGAACTCAGCAGCTCAGGAATGTCCTCAGCTGCAAATAAAAAGATAGTTCGAGCATTAAGACTGTTCATGAAGGGACTCATTGCTCACTGAAATAGTCAAGATACAGTACTGGGCCACTGAAAATTAACCTTCAGCTGCGTCGGTAGAGGCTACCCGGCTTCTCTTTCACTGCAGTCAGCTCCGTGCTTCCCTCGAGCAATGGCCGCAGCCTGTGTGCCAGGGAGCAACTCCGGCCGACGGCTGTTCCCATCAGTCCCCTTTCTCCACCTTCAGACAGAAGGTACACTCCATGCCTCTTGCTCCTCTGACGATTACAGAGATAACTGACTGATCCTTAGTGATGGCAGAGCTCTCACATCTCTCACTTTCTAGACCTCCACCTGGAGAATGAGCCCTTGATTTCAGTTCAAAGCAAGGAGCTCTTACCCTCTCACTCCAAGGGAAGCACCTCCGGCTACGGGCTGAATTTTTTATGAGTTTGCTGCCTGGACAGTGGGAACAGATCAGGAGACTGAATGAATTCATTCTGAGGTTCTTAAGAGAGTTTAAAACTTACCATCTACAGCAAGAGCCCTGTGCAAGAGATCTTTAGCCGCTCGAACCACCGCACTCACAACGGAAAGTGCTCTGCTACAATTTTTATCTTCTTCATTGGCCTTATTTAAGAGCTGTGATTGCAAATCTCCGTCATACTCGCTTCTGGAAAATGGGAAAAAGTCAATCAGAGAAGCAAACTAGTACCTTAATAGACTCAGGTGTATTTAGACACAACCCTCCCTATAGCACTGTTCAGACAGTGTAAAAGGGCAGTATTAAAAAGAATATGCCGATGTATCTCCCTTCTTGCTAGATTTTTTGCTTCACATCTTCATGCCAGGTAGCACTTACTATGTATTATTTTAAATACTGTACACTACCCATGCTCTTTTTGGAGTCAGGTGGCCTCAAAATCCAACAGATAAATAAAGTAAATACTTTTTTCAGAAATCACTAACACAACACTGCATTCATTTAAACACATTCATCTTTGTTGCGCTTAAAGATAACATCCAATGAAACTCATCTGTCATTTGTACCTGTAATAAAGGATCTGTGGAATTTGACCCCGGGTCTGATTTGTGCCGTTGCTGCTCAAACTGCAAGTACTGAAGGTAAAGCTCACACCATCCGGACACTGGACAGTGGTCATGCCTCCATCCCCGTTCGCTGTGCGACTCCCGTAGTTTCTCAAACGGACAGCGTATTTCACGTTTTCCTTCAAAGATCATGCCACAGGGAACTAATGTAAGCTTTTTCATTTATTTTTATTCAGCAGAGTTTTAAGGACAGCATTCATATTTTTAAAATATAAAAAGGGGCTATTTTAAATGTTAGTCATTACAATATTATTCTTGCTAAAATGTTGTCATTCCAGTGACCATGAGGCATACTAATCCTTCTATGATATCAGAGTTTTCTGCTACTAAATCTTAACATGGAGCAGGCCCATCCTGGCATTCCCAAGGCCCCTTGGGGTTATGATTCCAAAATTTGGTAGCAAAGGGATAATTTTCAGCGCTATTATTTGTCTGCCCCCATCCCTTTTGTTTAAAACTATTTAATACTTAAAATAGGTACACAAATTTCTGGGACATTTAGCACATCTATTTTGCATAATCCTCTAAGTAAAAGAGAGGATTTTAATTTTGAGGCATTAATTTTGACCCACTGTATCCATTTTATTACTATGTTCCCAGCCATATTCCCTGCAGCCCTTGGAAAAAACAGCTTTAAAGAAAGAACAGTACTGCCGTAAGGGGATAAAGTTTCCCACTGCTATCTTGGGTAGTCAGAAGTAAAGATAATTAACTTGCTAGGTATTAGAAGTGGTGGTCTTAAGAGATTTGGGTTTTTCAAAGTTAAATATATTACAGACACATATTTTGCTGTATTTACCTTCAGAGGAACGACTTTGTCAAGTTTAATTTCTGCAATCTCACTTGGGGAATCATCTGTGGTATATGTTCCTTTCACTAATTCTAGAGATGTCCATCTATGAGAATGAGTCGAATCTCCTGTATGATCACTCTAAATTTAAAAAATCATTTTAATGCAGCTATACCATTAATAATCATAATCCAAAAGAATAGTATAAAAATCAGAACATGTACCCTACAAGCATATACCTTCTTCTTACTAGCTTAAAGTATCACAGCTTCCTTACAAGTCTGTGACATGGTAAATGCAATGCAGGTGCTAAGAATGCTCCTTGTTGTTCAGTCGTTAAGTCGTGCCCGACTCTTCGTGACCCCATGAACCATATTGCGCCAGGCCTTCCTGTCCTTCACTGCCTCCCTGAGTTTGCTCAGTTTCATGCTCAAGAATGCTCCTAGGGATTAACAATTTCCTCCTTCCCTTCCCACACACTCCAAACACCCAAACACACAGAAAGGCATGAAATAGATTTATTGTATTTATATGAAAGGAAGATGACCCTGATTCCCAGCCAAGAACATGAGAGAGAGCAAAGTTTTAAAGCACAACCCAAATCCTATAAACTGCCTGAACTCCCAGCCTTAAGATCCAGGGTGGTGACTCTAACACATCAAGTCTATTTTTGTTCCTCAACAAATATACCCCTACAACATCTGGGTGGAAACATGGCAGGCTAGCGCATCTACACACACCGGGGACAACCCTGAGGCCAAGACTAGCAGCCGGGCCATGCGCCCAAGCTAATGGAGCTTCTCCGGACAAGGAGAAAGTTGTGAGCTCCGGAGGGCTGGTTCACGTGAGGAAGCCAGCAAGATGCAGATGGACTCTCTAGGCAACCCAGGTGAGCACATCTTTGGCCCATGGGAAGAACTATAGTGAAAAGAAAGGAAATAACTATAAAGATTTTAAAGGATTTAAAGCAAAAAGCTTGCCAGGAATTTGGAGTGCAAAAGTTAAAAATGGAGGAAGGGGACAGCTAAAGTTGGAGTATTGCTTTTATTAACAAAGTACTTTGGAATTAATTAAATAAATTATACATACCTCCATGGGAAAGAGAATTGTTTACATTTGCTAAGGAGGACGATTGGTTGACTGCGTTAAACAAAGAGATAAGTAGAGAAAGAAAGAAAATAGGAAGTTGGAAAAGATCTTGTGATTATAGATGCAGGGAGTCCAAGGCACTAAAGAGTTACGCACATTAAAAAAAAGCCCTCTCCACTTTTTTACTTTTTATTCCTCCTTTCTGGATCACAAATGAAAAAGGGGGGAAAAATGGTGATGACTAGAAAGACAGTGAAGGCTACAGAAACAGGGAGGAGGGGATTGTTTACGCAAGGACAACAGATAACAGAAAAAGGGATCACATCAGTCTTTACAAAGGATGTTTGAAGAGTTAGAAAAGGATGTTATAGCATCAGTAACTGCATCAGTTAAAAGAGACTTGGTTACTCTGGAAGAGAGAAAAGATGAAAGATTACAGATATGGAAGAAAAGATGAATAAAAGATTGGAAGAATCTATAATACAGATGAGTGGAGAAGTTAAACAAATTAAAGAAAAAGTAGAAATTTTGGAAAATAAGACAGAAATAATAACTAGAGAAATAGAAAAGGATTTAGACAGTGTTGCCCTATTGGAATTAGGGGAGAGAGAATTTTGTAAGATTGAGGACAGTTCCAGAGGAGCCTGGTGAAGACATTAGAGAAAAAGTTGTAGAATTCTTAACAAAATTTTTGGAATGGGATGAAGATGATATGGATGCAGAAGTGGACAAAGTGTACAGAATTAATGCAAGATATGCAAAACTAAGAAAAGTACCAAGAGATATACTTGTACACTTTGTCAGGAAGAAGTCAAGAAATCAGGTTCTATAACATTTTAATACTAAGTTAAGGATAAATAATTCAGAAGTAATTTTACTGAAATAAATACCTATTAAAATATTGCACAAGAGAAAAGAATATACTCTTTTGAGAGATAAACAAAAGAAGATTGCATTTTGTTGATATAAACTGGAAGGGAATCTTAACTTTTAACCAACAGAAATATCAACTTAACTTAGTCTAAAAGGTGAGAGATTTTTATTTATTTATTTATTATTAAATTTATATGTTGCCCATCTCCCCCAGAAGAGGGGGAGGTATAGAGGAGTTAGAGAAAGTGCAACTGGAACAAAAAGAGGGAACCATGCAACAAACATTCCACAAGATGTGGAACAGACCACAACATTAGGTGTTATAAGCATAGACTTTTCTAAGCTTACAACTTAAATATGGATTTTAAATGCCTAATGTGGAATACAAAAGGGTTAAATGCTCCTTTAAAGAGAAAAAAGTTATTTCATTATTTGAAAAAATTAAAAGTGCCTGAATCGCAGTCATATGACTGCAGGGGTGCTGCAACAGCCATAACTTTGAGGACCAGTTGCAACCACCACTTGTTCTATGAGACAAGAGTGCTTTGGGTAAATCTAGGACGGCTAATCCTGATCTGCCCCCGTCCCTCACCATAACCCTTGTTCTCTCCCTGACCTTGGCCCTGTCTCTCTCCCTAGCCCTGTCCCTCACCCTAACCCTAACCCTAACCCTAACCCTAACCTCACTTTACTATTCAAGCCTCAAAACTCGGTCATTTATATGGGGAGGGTAGGAAATCTTGCCTCCCTTTTGAGAAAATACAGGCTTCAAGTTCAACAAAGGAGACTGGTGTTATACATATTCAATTTAAACCAAGTCCACCATTTCATGTCAGTTCAGGTCCCCAAATACTGCAGATCAGAGTGGGCTGGATTAATGAACAGAGAAAAAGGAAGGATAAAAGTGACACCACAATTCAAATAATTTCACGCCAATTTTAACAGTGAAGGCAACATCAGCCTGGTACTGAATGAGGTCTTCCCAGAAGAGCATGGATTTGTTATTTCTGTGCATAATACGTACATCGTCCACTAGTACTTCTAGTTCATATTCGTGGATCCCACCTCCTCCATAAACCGAGAACCCTACAACAATGACTCCTGGTTTGTCCACAGAGAAACATATAGCATCAGGGGACCCATTTCCAGTATTCCAGCTCCTTCCCTGACTTGTTTTTGTAAATCGGTTTGGGCTTGACTTGACAGAATGCAGTGAGCTGAGTCCATCAGCCTGAAAAGAAGAAAGCCAAAACTAAGAAGAGATTTGAGGCAAATGATTCTGTTTAGGGCTGTGCTTCTGACAGAACAATGAAGGAAGTTGGGCAGTCATGCATTTTTCCACTCTGTTGATCTGTGAACTGTCTGATTAACCTTCTCTGCAAAAACGTCACTAAGAAACTAATAATCCCTCAATTTCAAATGCCCTGGAACATCACTGGCAAAATGCAGCCAAAGATTAGGTGCTCAATTTTCAGAATAAAAAAAAGAAATAAAAAGTAAAATCACCATAGGAAAATGGTATCTGCATTTAATATGGAAATATATGGTTTCCCTGAAGTCATCTTAGCAGACCATGACAGAAATGATATGCTAGAATTATGCTTATAAGTGCATTTGTAGCCATTATCTCAATAAATTTCATGAAATGTTGAAGGGCAGACAATGGATTTTTTTCCTTTTAATGTAATAAAAAAGAAAAATGTGTTAATTAGTGAACCTTATTACCTCAGACCCCAGTGCAGAAGCTGTGAGCTCACTCACAATACTTGCAAGCAATCCACAAGTATTAGAAACCAGGTGTGCGGAGAACAGCTCATTTTCACGTCTGAGGCTATTTCTGACTGGCAATACTACAATCACCAGCATCTTCTCAAGGACCTCACGAAAACTTGTCATCCCAGAGATATTTTCTTCACTCTAGAGAATGAACAGATAAAACCAAAGATGTCCACATAAAATGATTGATGATGTAACACAATTCAGGACTGATGTGTGTTTGCACTAACTAGTATTCAGAAGTCAAACTCCAAACCATGAGGTTCTAGGACACGCGTAAATCCTGACTCAAGTAGCAGAAGCTCCTTAATATGCAGGCTGCTG